TCGAGCAGGATGGACTCAGGGAGGCTGCACTCTTGCTCCTTCGCAAAGCTCTGGAGCTGCGACATGTCGTCGAAGCAGAGCACGCGGCCGGCAGGGAGGTAGGGCTCCGAGGCGAGGTGCATCATCCCGTGGTGCTGCTGGCCACGTGCGGTGAAGTCCGTCACCGGGCCAACCAGCACCTGCAGCGGTCCTGTGATGACGAGCTGGCACTCGGCGAAGCGGTCGACGGCAAACTTGCCCACGTCCTTTGATGCCCGCTCGTAGTCATACTGGCCGTTGGGGTGTGGGCCAAAGAGGGTGCCTACAGACTTGGCATCGCCGCCCACGTACAGCCTGAAGAGCACCTGCACCATGTCGTCGTTGTCGAGCTGCTGGGAGGGCCGGTCGACGTGCGCGGGCATCGATTGCGACGTCAGGTGCATGTAGGTCTGCCGCTGGTTGGCGCGGAACTTGTCGGCGACGCACGCGATCCCAAAGAGGATGCTTGATGAATCCAAGAGGGGGAAGTGCTCCGTCCTTGCCACCAGCCGAGCGTGGTCTCGTCTGAACCCATGAAGCGCTGCAGCGGCATGTCGACGCTCTCGGCCTCCTTCACAAGGTCCGCAAAGACGCGCCGGCTCTCGATGGAGAGGAGCTCGCGCACCAGCTCCGAATCCGGCCCCATGTACTCGTTGATGATGTCGAAGACCTAAATCCGGTGAGCGAAGCGCCGCTCCGTTGAAGAGGAAGGTGCGGCGCGAGGGAAGAAGTCTGCCCCGAGGACGGAGGCCTCGCCGTCGTCCACGACGAGCTGCCCAAGGTCGCGCGAGGAGCTCCCAGACGCAACCAGTGGGTGGCCGTCGGTTGGCGACTGAAACAGCATGTGCCCCTGTGGGGGGGGCGAGCGCGGGCGGTCAGGGCGCAGACGCGCAGACCGCAGGAGGCGTCGACGGGTAACCGGCAGGCCAGACGTTGGCGGGGCGGGTGGGCTGGGCACACCTGGTCCTCATCCATGGCCTCGGGGCGCGGCGGCAGGGAGATCGAGAAGTCCAGGCACATCTGCTGCATGGTGCTGGAGGGCGCTAGCGCGGCTAGAGGCTAGAGGGCGGCAAGAGGGCGGGGTGGCATAAAGAAAAACGCCCGCACCTCCTTGTATTCAGCCGGTATTGCAGCCGCGTACGCACCGTGCTCGTAGCCTGTGTGTTTGTGGATTCGTAGTCCATGTTTCGCTGGCCGCGGACATGCGCTGGCGTGACGGTTCGGGACGGGGAGCAACTAAAATGGAAGAACAACCGAGGACAGCGCGTCTACTGCCTATAGCCGGCCTCTTGCTGTGCTCCCCCCCTCCCCCCCCCTCACCAACGTCCTGTACAGACGGCACGAAGTGGGATTGGCAGCAGCAGTGGTGGCATCACAACCGCAGAGGCAGCACTCGGGGAGGGCACGCGAGTGCGACCGAGTGCAGTGGGCACAGCCGGAGGGGCGTTGCGCCACCTCACGGGGCACCAAAGGGGTACGGCCCAGGCCAAACTTGGCCCACATCATCTCCGGCGTCCGGAAGGGGCCCGTGCCAGCAGTGGTCACCCGGTGGACCGCCGCCTCAACGTCGCCGCACAACTGCGGGTCGGCTCTGTGCTGCCGCCACATGTCCGCGCTCGATCCGCAACGGGGCCTGCGGCTCCCCCGTTCGAGGCAGCCCGTGGATGCGGAGCAGCAGCACGAGCTCCTCCTTGCCCTTGATGTACATCCACGTGGCGGTGGGCTCAGTGGCAATCGAGCGGGTGGCGGCGGCGGCGGCCGAGCCGTCGGCGCCGCGGGCTGCGCTGGCGGCGCTGTGGGTGTTGGCTGCGCTGGTGGCGGTGCGGACGGTGGCTCGCCGAGGGCGGTGGAGGTGTTGGAGGAGGCGGGCTCGGGGGTGGCGGTGATGGCGGCGGCGGCAACGGCTGCGGAGAGAGTCGGGGGCGCCGACAGTGTTGCCGAGGCCAGCGGTGGAGGCGACAGCAGAGGGGCGGCACCGGTAGTGGATCCAGGAGTACTTGTCGGTGAAGCCCCAAAGGTGATCCCCTCCATCGCCGGGTGCGACAGCGCGACGGCAAGCAGCGCGCGGTAGGCGATGCGCTGCCGTGTTGCTCTGCTTTCCTCGGGCCAGTCGCG